GGAGAGAACAGACAAGGATGTGAAGAAAAGAGGATGGGGTAGGTGGATAGGGTGATGGGCAGGGGAAAGAAGGAGAGGTGGAGGAGAGAAGTGGAGGAGAGGAAAAAGAGAAGAGGGTAGGTCGGGGGAGGGAAGGAGGAGAGGGAAGGGGATGTGAAGAAAGGAGGAAAGTTTAGGTGGACGGGGAGAATAGTGAAGAGGAGGAGAGGCGGAAAGAGCGGGAGGAGAGGGGGAGAGGAGGAGAAAGGGAATGTGAGGAAAAGAGGAGAGGGTAAATGAACAGAGGAATGAGAGGGAGAAGATGGAGAGGGGAGAGGAGAGGAGGAGAGGAAAAAGAAGAGAGGGTAGGTAAGGGGAGGGAAGAAGGAGCAGGGAGAGGGGGAGAACAGGAGGATGGAAGCAGAAAAGGTAGAGAGGTGGAGAGGAGGAGGAGAGGAGGAGAGGAGGGGATGTCCAGAGTGATTAGAGGAGGTGTAGAAATGCTGTCGAGAGGAAATGAGGAGGAGAGATAGAGAGGAGAGGTGGGGAGGAGTATAGGAGAGGGAGGAGAAGAAAGGAGAGAGTGAGAGGAAGGGAAGAGGAGAAGAAAGGAGAGGCGAGGAGGAGAAGAGAAGAAGAGGAAAGGGAGGAGAAGAGGGGAGAGAGCGAAAAGAGGGGAAGATGCGAAGGGAGAGGAGAAGAGAGGAGAGCGCAAGAAGAAGGGAAGAGGAGAAGAGAGAGGAGGAGGGGGGGAAAGAGGAGAGGAAGGAGGAGAAGGAGAGAGGAGAGGGAGAGAGAGAAGAGGAGAGGTGAGGAGGAGAAGAGGAAAGGGAGGGCATGAGAAGAAGGGAAGAGAAGAAGAGAGGAGAGGTGGGGAGGAGAAGAGGAGAGGAAGGAGGAGAGGGAGAGAGTGAGATGAGGAGAAGAGAGGAGAGGGAGGAGAAGAAAGGAGAGAGGGAGAAAAGGGGAAGAGGAGAAGAGAGGAGAAGTGGGGATGAGCAGAAGAGAGAGAGGAGGAGAGGAGGAGTGGGGAGAAGAAGAGGCGAGGGAGGAGGAGAGGAGAGGGAGAGAGTGAGAATAGGGGAAGAGGAGAAGAGAAGAGAGGGGGAAGGAGAAGAGGAGAAGGGAGAGGAGAGGTGAGGAGGAGGAGAAGAGAGGGAGAGAGTGAGAATAGGGGAAGAGGAGAAGAGAGGAGAGGAAGAAGAGAAGGAGGGGGCGGTGTCCAGGGTGATTGGAGGAAGGATAGAAATGTGAGGAGGAGAAGAGAAGGAAGAAGTGGAGAGGGGGAGAGGAGGCGCTCATGATACAGCAGAGAGGTGGAGACGAGGAGAAGAGGAGGAGGAGAGGAGGAGGAAAGGAGAGGAGGAGAGGAGAGGAAGCGCGTGCAGTTGGAGGGGAGTTTAGGCAGAGGTAATATATTTGGATAATGGTCGGGTTTGTTTATGCAGGAAAATAGTGTGTTTATAAAAATATGGAATGTATAATGGAGCCAAACAGCCCAGGATCCTGAACGTAATTGCTGCTTATATAAAAGACACTTTACCTGTTTATGATTCAGCCTGCAGGAGACAGAGAAGGACACCAGGGCAACGCACAGGTCAGATCTGCGGAGAGGCAGCCCTGCAGCAAGAAGACAAGGTTTCAGTGCATTTTCTGATTTCAAGGACTCACATTATGCTGTTTTCTGATCTGTGCTCATCACAAACACTCCCCGAGTTGTGTTTTGTTTTATTCACATGTTTAACACACAAACATATTCTTCAGACAGACAACACTCCGTTCCACCTCGTGATGTCATGTGGTGGTACATAAGGTGACCAGATGAGACAAGTGTGGGCTCAGAGTTGATTTGTTCTAAGTTGTTTTTCTTTACAAACACCAACATCACGTTAACTAATCAAAACACTGAGTTTTACTACAGAACATAATAAAAATGTAATGGACAAATCGAGGTCTTGAACCCGAAGCATCTGCATTAAAGATGAGCGACTTAACGTAGTGTTGGTGTAGGTGGAGGTTTGGTTGTGGTACTCCCTCACTTGCCTCCCCTGACTGCAACATCACTGGTGTTCCATGTCGCTGGTGCTCTACCTCTTTGATACTCCACCTCTCTGGTACACCGCCTCACTGGTGCTCCACCTCGCTGGTGCTCCACCTCGCTGGTGCTCCACGTCGCTGGTGCTCTGCCTTTCTGGTGCTCCTCTCCACGTCTTTCTGGTCTGCTCTGGCCTTTCTGGTACTCCACCTCTCTGGTACACTGCCTCTCTGGTACACTGCCTCTCTGGTACTCCACCTCACTGAAACTCCACCTCACTGGTACTCCATGTTGCTGGTACTCGACCTTGCTGGTACATCGCATCACTGGTATTCCACCTTGTTGAAACTCCATCTCACTAGTACTCCACATCACTGGTGCTCTGCCTCTCTGGTACACCGCCTCTCTGGTACACCGCCTCGCTGGTACTCCACCTCTCTGGTACTCTAGTTCTCTGGTATACTCTCTCGCTGGAACACCCCCTTGCTGAAACTCCACCTCGTTGAAACTCCATCTCACTGGTACTCCACGTCACTGGTGCTTCGCCTCTCTGGTACTCCATGTCGCTGGTACATCGCCTCACTGGTACTCCACCTTTCGGGTACACCTCCTCACTGGTATTCCACCTCGTTGAAACTCCATCTCACTAGTACTCCACATCACTGGTGCTCTGCCTCTCTGGTACACCGCCTCGTTGGTACACCGCCTCGTCTGGTACACCGCCTCTCTGCTACACCACCTCACTAGTACACCACCTCACCAAAACTTCGCCTTGCTGAAAATCCACCTCGCTAGTACTCCATGTCACTAAGACCCCACATTACTGGTACTCCACCTCGCTGGTGCTCCATGTTGCTGTCTCCCCTCTGCTCTCCACTACCCACACCTTCAGTCACATCCTCTTCCCTGTTAGGACGTAGGAGCCAAGGCGACCGTCCGCCTCGAGAACAGAGTCTAGAAGTCTTCAGGGCTGTGTGCAGTCCACTCAACCTCCACCAACAGTTTTGAATGTTTATCACAAAATAACGACTCAGTGTTCTGTTTGAGAGTCATTTTCGGGACATTTAGGGCCGGATTCAGGATTCGGGACAGCAGCTTAGATTTCGGGACTGTCCTGAATTTTGGGATGTCTGAATTTTCGGGATGTCTGGTCACCCTAGTAGTACAGGAAGTGCTCCATTGCGTTTTCAAATAGGAAGTGATCATGGGTGCACTGATTACTGTTGGAACATAATGCTATTTATAATTTATGAAATATCTGAATAAAATATTGTGTCCGTGAATAAATTCCTATTCCTGTGTACCAGAGCCCACATTAGAACGATTACACGGTGAACTTTTATTTTCTCTGCTGCTTTTCTAACCCCTGGTCCCATCTTGAGGTTGTCCATTTGGCAGAGTGTGGGGTGACAGAACCGACTTGGACCTCGCGATGCCTTTGCCGGGGGCCATATGCAAACTCAAACTTAGCCTCATTAACTGTCTCTCTCTTCCTCAGTGTTCAAGGACCTTATGTACTCTGCAGATGCTCTCATACAGTTTTACAACACACACTATCTACTCCAAAAACAAAAGAGAACAGACAGAGTTTTTGTTAATTATTGGGGTGAACATTATTAAAAAGTTGAATATAAGCATGTGTTTTTATTTATTTATTTTTTTATTGAAAGGTCCTAAGTTGACTCTTGAGAGCTTCATGTTAAAATGTTGTTCCCTCCTCAAAATCAGACCTGGAGTTGTGTTTTGTTTCATTCACATACGTTTAAGAAATCCTGCAGCTCCTTTTACTTTTAGTTCAGTAGAGATGGGCAATTCCAGGTCTGAAATCATCAAAATGTTTCTAGAAAGACAGTTGCCACATTTACGTTAAAGCTTTAAATCTGAATCAAAATGAATTCTGTTTTCAAAAGACCATGTAAACACTTAATTCCTAATGAAAATGATTATTCGGAATAATCTTCTGTTATGCATTTACAAGGCCTATATTAGATCTCAGCTAGAACACTGCACAGTGTTAATATGTGGTGCAGGAAAGACTCTGATGAACTGTCTCAAAAGTTTGCAATGGCGATGCATGCACATTATTCTCCATCTGCTGTATCATGCCCATATAACACCAGAGCACTATACGGCACTTGGACTGACCACACTGCAAACCAGACGTAATTTTGCACTGGCATGTTTTACATTTAAACTGTACCACAGGCTTTCGCCAGCAGCTCTGTACGGTGGCCGACGGGGGCCAAACGCACTGCAACAGCTCAATGCGTCTCATTTAGAGAAAACAATTTCAAGTACAGAAACGATGCAAATTCACAGGGTCAAACACAAGTTTAAACCAGGTACAAACAAAATACGTGGTGCAGATGAAAAAACGCGCTGCAAGAAACAAAGACAAATGCATCATCATCAAATGTGCTGCAAATAGAGAAACGATGCAAAGCACGAAACGATGAAAACCAAGAAAACACCTGCAAAAGAAAAATGCTGCATAAAGACTCACCACAACGGAAGTGCTCCAAACCTGCAGGGGGCGTTCTCAGTAGCAGTGTCCACGGACCGCAAAGGCCGTGCTGAAATGAGACAGGTGTAGTTATTTTATTAGATGCTAACGCTAATGCTAACAAGAGGCACCACGCAAATTACGTACACGAATCGGTAAAAACATTACGCATGGGTACTCAAACTGTAGGAGACTAAGTTATTCTAATAATTCTCATCCAAATCTTATGGTTAAAAGTGAAAACTTATGTTTAACTTTTGCATAAACAAAATGGCTTTATTTCTGGAATACATCTAAAATAGACTAAATGACCTTAAAGTTTCAAAAACTGTGATGGGATCTGCATTATGAAGTATGTTTCTATTGATAAGGGATTACATTTATACCAGGCATGCATTTATGTCAGTTTATTAAAAAAGACATCTCTCCTTTGAGAAAAGATGATTTATTAAACAATCATAGGAACTTCTGGAAACAGTTTGTCATAATGTGAATAGTCAAACATTAAACCCATTACGCACACACTGCATTAATAGGTTTGTACAAACAACTGTATGTCAGTGTACTCTCAAACTGTTACCTTTTTACTGAACCAGGTGACAATTCAAAATGGACAAATTATCTTTGCAAAGTGACACTGTTACTGGAGACTAGACTACTAGACTGCTCTGGCTTCAGGTCATTTCCCTTAACCAAAGTCTGTGTCTATGATAGAGAGAACCAGACGAAATCAAACGATCAGCTGAAAAGATTGAAGACAAGACATTAAAGCTCAAAAAAATACATTCCTGTGTCTGTTTCTACTCTCTAATCGGAGTACTGTTCTGGATGAAGTGTCCCAGTACACGTATACAGTACTAGAAATCTCCAATATCACTGCATAACTGCAGTACAATAGTAAATTCTTATAGTGCATGTAATCAGTTACTACCAAAAGAGACACTAAATAAACGGCACATTTCACCATGAAACAAATGTCAGTATAGACGAAAAACATCCAGAAAAACTTATGAGTAAATGATATGTTTTCAGTTTTGTCTCACACACTTGGTAATATCATATAAGGCCACATTTATCATGGTACACTGCCTCAGTGATGGAAGTTGTTTAGGTGCTCCTCAGCTAAGATGAAAAGGAACCACCATTTTACTGTTTTACTTGTGCAAGAAATTAGAAGTTAAACCTAAACTTTAAGGACACATCACTATTAACACACATTAGAGACAGCAGGAGGAAGGCCTGATGCAACCAGAGGCCCTACAGATGTGCTGCAGTCTGGACGACCTCCTCCTCAGTGAGTGTGGACATGGACAGTGAAGGCATGAACCATTGTACTTGGGCCACTCAGTCTGATGTATCTCTCGTCTTCTGGAGGAGGAAGAGCAGAATGGGCCTTATGTCTGATAGGTTCAAAGTCAGGTCCTGCAGAGGGAAAACCAGTAATGACACACACATTAGGAAAACTACAAAATTATTACAGGAAAATGGAAAATATATAAATTGAAACAGCTAATTTAATAGAAGAATCCCACACATTTGAGAAATGCGTATTTTTACTCTTTGAATCATGATTTCAACATGAGCATGATTCATTTGCAGCCCTTATTAATACTGGAGTTTTCAATGCAACATGCACCATACCTAATCTGTGGCAGGAGTCTGGTTCAGCACCTCCAGTGCAGTGTGGGCTTTACTTTGTCATCTGCATTTGACCCATTTCATGAATCATGAGCGTCTCATCAGCCAACAGTTCTGTGGCCCCAGCAGTAAGTTGTGTCCTCATACAGGAGTCTGCAGATGAGAAAAGAAAATGAATATAAAACATTTCAAATAGTTTTCTCTTTACCGTTTTCTCTGTTAGTAGTAGTTTACTACTGTACTTGCTTGGATGTATTGTGTTTAAGTAATAGTCCAAAAAAAAAAAAATCCTTACAGTCACCAATCAAGGATCCCTTCAGAATACGTCAACTACCTCTGATATTATTATTTGCCAAAAATATTTCATTAATTATTGACTGTGAAGGCCCGGACTAGACCAGGACTAGACCAGGTCTAATCTTGGACTTGAGAGTGAGAGAGAGAAACCGCGAGCCCATGGAGGTGTCCGCAAAGCACGATCAGGCGACAGCTGCTTTAGCGCCGTGGGGCGTGGAGCTCTGCGCCAGTCCTTTTGCCCGCAGTCACCCACACTCAGTCCTGATTCAGTTCTGGTTTAGTGCTTGTCTAGTCCGAGCCTTAGTCCGCGTGTGTCACGCCTTCCCAGTGGCTCTTTGGCGCTTCCCAGGGGAGGCGAGCCTCACCTATTGAAAACCGCTGCACTAAAGTCTCTCTCAGCCTGGTCCATCGTTCCAGGCAAAGACCCAGAAATGGCACTTATTTGCAGGGCAACGACGCTTTCTGTCTAAATATGAAAGTTTGAGTGGACTTTTCATCGCGTTAGCTCCAAATTAGTAGCTAAACTTTTAGCTCAAAGCTCCGAGGTTCACACAGTTAACACAGTTTAAAACAAACTTATTTGACAGTTTTGTGGGTTATGACCGTAACACAGTAGATGAATATAATCAAATAAAAGCCACATTACCGTAACAATCATTAGTCCCCGCTGTAGTTTATCGTCAGTCAGCTGTTTTCTGTCTCTCAAAGGCAGATCCTTTCTCCCTGTCCAGCCGGTGTGTCTCTCCATTGAGCTGTTACACTGAGCGCCCCCTGCAGGTTTGGAGCACTTCCGTTGTGGCGACTCTTTATGCAGCGTTTTTCTTTTGCAGGTGTTTTCTTGGTTTTCATCGTTTCGCACTTTGCATCGTTTCTCTATTTGCAGCGCATTTGATGATGATGCATTTGTCTTTGTTTCTTGCAGCGCGTTTTTTTCATCTGCTCCATGTATTTTGTTTGTACCTGGTTTAAACTTGTGTTTGACCCTGTGAATTTGCATCGTTTCTGTACTTGAAGTTGTTTTCTCTAAATGAGAGGCATTGAGCTATTACAGTGCTTTTGGCCCCCGTCGGCCACCGTAGCTCTGGGACGGTACCAGCCTACACAGAAACTTCTGCCTTATGATGTACGGCGGGCCACCTCTGTGTTTCCTGATGGGACCCTGCCCTGCGCTGCCATCATGCAGAGGTCATGTCTCACTCTGGCCACTAAGATGCTCAATGCGTTGAATCCTCCTGACTGTGTTTCACACTCTGGAACAACGGGCGAATTCAAAGAGTTCCTGAGAGCACAGCTCAGTGATGAGCCCCTTGCAAACTTCCCTTTTGAATGAGAGGGGGATGGAGGGGTTTAGAACAATTTTCCAACCGTAATAAGACCATGGAATTTTAAATTTGTAGTTGAAGTGGGTGGTTTATTCTGATTTTTAAGCCAAATTAATTTATTCTTCGATCAAGTAAACATTTATTCTTGTTAGAAATAATGTCGGTGGTTCAGTTCATGCTCGTTGTGTTGTCCTTCTGATGCGATCCGGACGATCCGGCTCCACCAGTCCTTGGCTTGGGACTTTCCTCCACGTCTCTTTGGATTTGTGAGCGGGATGTGGGAGTGGGCTGAGGTACAGCAGCCTCACACTCAGTTTGTCTTCTTCCTCCTTCTCTGACACTCTTCCCTTCTCCTCCTCAGCTGACAGACATAAAGTGTGATGAGACAATTCTCCAGCTGCTGCACAATTATCATCGGAACCACTGCGGAAAAAATTTGGATGATGTTTGTGTCTGTGGAGTAACGACAAACCGAGATGACAGAAAAGTCGGTAGCAGCTGAAGTGTGTGTTTTCTTGTGGTTGACATAAATACGTTCATGTCTCTGTCCAATCAGAACCTTCCCCACCCCGAGACGCTGAGCAGAATTAAATAAAGATGATTTAACGTGTTTTCCATGTAAACAGAATTATTATTTCCATGTGAACTTGAAGGAGAATAGTTTAAGTTTCATCTATTTAATTCAGAATGGCTAATTTGGAATTAAAAAAGAACATCATGTAAACGTGGACAATAGAGCACTTCCTGTATTATTATGACATCACAAGGTGGGACAAGGTGTTTTCTGTTTGAGAGAAGAACTCAGTCTAAATCTGCAGGGTTTGTAATGAGGAAACAACATTAGAAAAGATCAGAAAACAACTCTTTAAAGGCTCTGTTCCCAATTTTCCTCATGTATTTCAGCAGTGTGTGTCTTGCCCCGTGTAATTAATTATAAAACGTTTTATTGCAGGATAACCAGGAAGTGTGTATTACCATGCTAGTTGTTGTTATCACCATGATTGCAACACTTTAATCTGGTCTCTGACAGTTGTGAAAATCTCTTATAAACTCATCATGGTGAATAATTATGAGGAAGAACTTGAGAAACTGTTCAAAATGAACTACTTCTGTTTTTCACATTTGCAGTCGGTAAAACTCAGCGCCTTTAACAAGCTTTTGATGAATTGTACAAAAAGAGAGGTTGGTTTATAATTCCTAAGCCTCATTTATTAAAGTTTTAACTCCAAAAATGAGGCATTCCATTTTTCACTTTTGTAGCCCAGAAATGATCACTATATTTTTCTTCTCACTCCTCCAATGTATTTTCCAGTTCACGGCCTCTATTATACCTCACAGTATGAATAGGCCTACATCATACCCAGATGAGAATGGAATGGCGATGCTTTGGAATTTATTCTGATTTCTCGCCTATAGTCATCATTTACTTCAAGGTCACAACATAAAGAACCAATGAGGCCTTGAAAGCCTCATCTGTGTGGGCTTCATAAACATACATCACATGTGTGAGGCCTGTGTGTTTCTCCACACCAGCTTCATGGATAATGTGGAGCTTTGAACAGCATTTCAATGAAGCCACAGAGACAGTCTTCATTAAAGTGCATGACACATTTTTTGATGCTGTAATTCTGACTTCATTTGGTGAGATTCAACCTGTTATAAATGTAAATTATAAATTGACTCCAATAATAAAGAAATTTGTGAAGAGAAGTTGAATTAAAGCTGCAAGCGGCATGGAACACCCCTTGCGGGCCACACTTCTCACTCGAGAGACCCCCAGTTCCTCAGGATGGCGCTGACGAGCGTGTTGACTCTGTGTCACTGCAGCTGTACTTGTTACTGAATAAAGTCAACACACAGTGGAAGTTCTGACTCGCTTCATTACCATGGCAACATTGTTGATTGATTAGGATGACCTGACTTTCAGTAAAACTAAGGCTGCGTTCAGACTGAAGTGACCCAAATCCGATTTTTTGGCCCCTATGTGACCTGTATCTGATCTTTTAATGACAGTCTGAACAACACAGATACGATTTTTTCAAATGTGACCCAGGACACTTGGATCTGTGCTCCTAAAACAGATACATATCTGATCTTTTGACATGTGACTTCAGTCTGAATGGAAAAAGTGCATTCATCCACCTACACGTTATCAACAAGCCACAAATGTCACTATTCTGCGCTGAAGTAGGCGAAAAATGTTAATGAACTCCATGTCACTGAAGCGAAGCACATCACCACTCACCACTCTTGGCTACGTCTCCACATCCACACGTTTCTTTCAGCGGACGTTGCTGCCCCACAACCACGACCAAAAACCTCGTCCTTCTCCTTCTCAATCTCCTCCTTAAAACAAGTAAGTTGTTCATGTTCTGGCTCCGGTACGAGAGGAACTTTAAAATCTCCAGGTGCTCAATGCTGCGTCCATGTTTGGACAACTTCTGTAAACACAGAGCACGCTCACTGTGGTTGACGTCATCGTGTCTCCAGTGCACATGTGGGACACTTTTGGGCCATTTAATGTTCACACTGGAGTCACATACAAGTCATATTTAATTGGAAATGTGAACGACCTCGCAAAAACATTGGATTTCACAAAAAAATCGGAATTGAGCATTAAGCCCTGCAGTCTGAAAATAGCCTTACATGTTGTTTTATTACTTTGAAATTTCAAAAATGAGGACATTTTTCTACTAGGATAAAATGTGCTTTCACGCATTACCATGGCAACCCAATGAAAAATTCCATATGGTTCTCTTTGACTTTTTTGATCGAGATGACCAAGTTTGACATTAAAATATAATGTAATATTTCTCATATGGGGATCATTCCCATTAGCACTGGTGTTTTCACGTGTCACTATGGCAACACTGTTAAAATATAACATGGTTTTCTTTTTTTTTTTTCTTTAAAACGCCAAAACATTTAGGAAAACTACATTCATTTCCGATCCTCCATACAAGTGTATTTGTCGTGCTGTAGGGTGCTGTCACTCCAATTTAATTTTTATTTTATTTTTTTAAAATAATGAATAGGTTTCGGCAAGAAAGTTTTTCAAATGATTAAAATGTTGTATTATCCCACCTACTTCCGTAGAAAGAATAGAATTGTCAAAAGCTGTCATACACATTTTAACACAGCTCATTTGAATCCTCTTCCCGTATGACGTCGTCGTATTATTTTGTCCTGATCTGAACCGCACATCTGGAACACCTGCTTTCACCACCACCATGTTTAAAAGATGAGCAGCCACCTGGACTCTACCCAAGAGGCATTTGAGAAAATCCGTTTTTACAATCTCCACAACTCACCCAATGCTTTGAGTGCTCTGTCTCCTCAGCCTCCCGTGACGTCCCCACTCTCATATTTCATCATGAATCTGCGAGACGGCTTTGTTGTAATTGTTATTTGACATTATTTGCTTGTGCCGTGGGCTCGGGGAGGATTTAGGGCTCGTGTGGGTTTGCGCAGTCATAATTGTTCTCCATTAAAGGTTGTGCAGTGCTGAGTGGAGCAGAGGAGCACACAGACGGAGATAGTGCTTTCAGACGTCTCATTGTGATACGACTGCAGTGAACCAATTAAGCTCCTCAGGCTGTGGTAATGACGGTTTGGTAGGTGTATCTATCTACATTTAAAGGCCCCTTATTAGGCAAAATGGACTCTTTAAGCTTTAAGTCATGTTGGAATATTGTTACCTCAGTGAGTGCGTTTACATGCACATCTGCATCCAGGTTATTTTCCATATCCTGGTTATGGCAGTATTCAGGATCTGCTGTTTACATGTGCATGAGAAACCGGGACACACATATCCCTGTGCACATGATCAAATAGAGTATCCCACTTTCTTGACATAATCTTATAGCCTGATTCATTAGCTGGTTTCACTTCATGGAAACTGTCTGACCTCGCAGCATTATGATTTATTCGCTCGACGGTAGGTGGGTACTTTTTTTTTAATTTAACCAATCACTGCGATTTGGTCGTGATGTATGTAATGCTCCACTAATGGGGATAACTGGTATATTAAGCTTTTCCCAAATCCTGTAGGAAGAAGGACAATAACGTCTTTCCCCTTGATAAAATTCACCAAACATTCTCTTTGTTCCGGCTTTAAATCTTCGATCATGGGAATCATTGCCAACACAGAATGTCTGTCTCTTCTCTGATTGGCTGGTGCAACTCACACTTCCAGGGTTTTTGTGAACAGTCTAGTGTATTCCGAATCCTGACCTAGTCACTGGAGAGAAATGAAATTGAGCAGAGGCACTAGGTGATGCCAGCCTGGCTAACAATCTCATACGCATGCTCAAAAATTATATTTAAAAAAAGTGCTCCTTTAGCAGAGGAAGCTCGGGAGGTTTAACCAGAGGTAAGAAGTATCCCACAATCCACTGCACCGATCACCCTGAACGTTTCCATACATTGTACAAGTTCTACACTGCCAGCAGATTCTTCATTAAAATCTTCTGCATAACTAAACTCAACTTTACAACAAATGTAGACACATCAGCCCGTTTGATCATATAATTCAGCTTTGGCACATTTGTTTACGTTTTACAGAAATTAAACTTAAAACTGCTTAAACTTTTTGCATATTGCATAAACTATAAGCACTTAAA